AAAAAAAAAAAAAACCATGAGGATGTTATGGAGATAAGGCATCCCAGAGAACCGAAGATGCTGGTAGCTACTACTTTGGTGACAGAGAACTCTTGTGATTAAAAGGTAGAAGACAGCAGACAAAGTCTCCCCTGTTCTCACCACTTGGTTGACTCTAAGACAGGTGGAGCCCGCTTCTTGTAACACCAAATTTCACGTTGCTTTTTATGAGCAGAGGGTCCATTTCTACATTGCACCTCCGGATTTAAAAGAGGAAATTTAAACCTCAGAATAATGTTTTTTGCTGAACAAAACGTATGCCAAACTAAGCTCTGACTGACTTCTGGTTTTCTGAGTCCCGGCCTCCAAAGTTTTCTCAGGTTTCCAGTACTGGGCCGAACTCATTGGCTGGTGCCATTTCCTTCTATGTGACACTTAGGTGGAAAAGGGACAAGAAGTAGGAGGGCCACCTCTAAGTCACACTTGGTGGACGTGGTGATGCCCGAAAGATCCAGAGAATTGTTTTAGATTCATTATCTGAGCATGGCTGGCTCTTATCAGCTGTACTTCAGGAAAGGCACCAATGTGTTTTCCTAGGCATTCTGGAGAAAAAAAAAAAAAATTCCAGCAAGCAGGGGGAAAAAAATCATACAAAACAGCAGTGAGTCTGAGCCTTCCTTCCTCAGCCCCATAAAAGCCCGTTTTTTAAGGCGGAGGAAAGCCACGCTTTGCTTTCTGACTAAACAATGGAGCACTGGCATCTTTGATCTAAACTGCCTACCGGATTCCCTCAATTTCATGACAGTGGTCCAACTTTCACCTTCCCCTTGAATAGATGAACTGAAGCTTTTCTGACTCCTACACTTTAAAACTATATCCATCACCAGTAACAGACAGGTTATTCTTGGATCACAGCGGATTCTGGCAAGATGCTGGGCCGAAGCAGACGAGGATAAATGAGAATACGATTATTCAGTTCTGCTTGCCGTGGCCACCGTGCCCGCTGTCATCCTCAAAATTCCCACAGAAATGAGCTCATTCCACTTTAAAACATTTCGGAGCTTAAAGGTTTAAATCAGGCCAAGTTGATTTTGTGGGGTTTTTCAGGCTTTTACACTGTAATTACATACAGGACTTCATGCCACCTACTTCCTCCCAACTGTAACATTTTACGTCTTTTTTAAGCATACGTTGAGGTTAGCCTTTTTTTTTTTTTTTTTTCTACATGTTATGAAATAAGATATGAACTTGTGCTCAGCTTTAGGTACCTTTCTGCCAAAAGGCTGGACCAACACAAACTAAATATGACTATTTTCTTTATCCAAAGTACAGTTTTGACTATTACATACCCTCTTAATGTACATACATAAAACCGGCTCACAACTAAAGCTCCCTGCAGGTCAGCTGAAATCATAACGAGATTTTCCTTTCATATAATGTGATTAACAAATGTTAGCTAACTGAACTCCAAAAAGACTCAAAAGAAAAAAACAAAATAACTCAAGCAGCACCGAGAAGTAAAATGATTCAACAATCTTCGTATTTTTTCCTTGCTTTTTCACACCTTTAATTAAGCAAATAGCCTGTTCCACTTGATTATAGGTAGCTGCCCTAGAGGCAGATGAAACCGAGAGCGAATTCCAGCTCTATCTACTACAATATGAACTTCACAAGCCACAAGACTCTTTAGCCTCAGTTTCGTTGCCTGTAAAATGGGGGTAGTAAAAGGTCTCAAAGGACTTTTGTGATGGCTAAATTAAATAATGCGGGCTTAGGTAAGTGCCAGCAAATAAAGTGTTTCGTAAATGTTGCTGTTACTGATATTATCTCTCTGCTAAAAATGGCTACCTTCCAACCTAAGTATACAATGCCAACCAGCCTCACTGCAGTCTGGGGTGCTTTGAAATCCAAGGACTGCAGTAGATCCCTCAGAAACTTACAAGAACATACACAAATAGAGAAGTGGCCATCCATCTATTCCTTCTCAATTTTATCAAGTCATTACAAATGTTTGGAAGCACCGACTATGACAGCTTGGGTCCCATAATCCTAAACCTCTGCAAAGGTCGGGAGAACGTATCACCGAACCTTTCAGTTCCTGAAGGAGCTCAAGACATCTTATGAATAACAAGTGAATGGGATTGCCAGAGTCAGGACTTCACGTGTTTATAAAAGGATATCTAACAGCTCTCACTCAAGGGAGATACCTTCAAATGTTGAAGATATAAATGAACTTGCTATCCTTCGGAGCTTAATCAATACTTTTTAGAATAAATAATCATTCCCACTCGAATCCCAACTGAGGCTTCTTTTCTCTTCTGATTCATTCTTTTAGCTTCAAAACAGCAGGATTCTAACAACTCTCTTATTTTCAGTAAGGCTGTGCTCTCAAAGAAAAGCACTATTTTCCACCCTAACGAGAATACTGAAAAGGGGGATTGCTCTGTGTAGAATTTTTCATAATGTTATTCGGGAACAGTTTGCAAACTGTATATTTAAACTTTATAAGTAGTAACACTGCCAAAGAGAAAAACACTATTTTCACATGTGGAGCTCCGAGCACATTTAAATGTTATTCAGTAATGTCCCCTAAAATCTTAAGAGATTAAGATAAAATAATTTACTCATTTTATACAGATAAGATCAGTGAAAAGGGAAGGTTATCACTCCCCCAACCCACCCTCCACCCCCCACTACATTTGTAAATATACAATGGAGACAAAATTTAAATGCAAAACTTCAACAGGTCATTTAGTCAAGGATCACTAACTGACTCGGCAACTGGTAAACAAAATCTAAAGAGCCCCTTTCCTGGCTCTCTTTTATTAAGGTAACAACATTTACCATCTCAGCAAATGTAATGTATTTTTACCTCTGTTTCTGTTGATTCCCTTAGTCTTCAGAACCTGATAATCATTTGATACAGACATTCACCTTCACTCATTTATCATTTTGCAACATTGACCTCATCCCTTGTCATGAGAAAGTTTGGGTAGTTTAAACCCAGATGGCTTGGCTTTCACCTAAATTGAGAAGAATCCCTTCTACGGTTCCATACAGCATGTTGATCTGTTAACTAGCAGTCATCTATCACTTTTGGGCTTTGCATTTGACTGCCTTAATGTTTTTCCAACAGGGTTTTGTGATGTGTAGTTCTTAACCAAGTTTTGCCAAAAGTGATTGGCATGTAAAACACTGTCCAGCAAATATGTTGCTCTTTGTGAGTCTATATTTCATCTCAGAAATTCGTGTTCATATAACTTAATCTCCCCCATGTGGTTACTCATTAGATCTTATCATTAAGTATTAAACCAAAATAAATGGAAACAAATTTTTTTTTAGTCTATTAGCCACTGCCAGTGTTAACGAAGCAGCTGATGGCCAAGTGTCATTCTCTGTTAAGGATAGAATGTCCTTTCTGACTCATGCTCCCAGATCAGAAATATAAAGACTGTTCTGGAGATCTTAGGGTATCACAGGCAAAGAAATCCAAGATTACACCTCATCCTCATGTTTGTTCTCTGTGACTGTCACCTCTCTTTCCTCTTGTCAGGGATATCTTATCCCCGACTTTTACACTTAAAGGTTATCTCATCTTCCCACTAAGACGACAGAATCAAGGCAGAAAGTGTGGTGGCACCTATGATTTGGTGGCAACAGCCATTCCGGGAACAGACAGTGCCAACGGTAATTTTATCACTGAGACGATGCCTCACAAAGCCCATCTTAATTTTATTTCTATAAGGATGATGTCAAAAATAAGAATCCCAAAGAAATCCAACTGAATTCAATTTGCCAGCTATGTGCAGTTCTGTAATGACTAAAAACCATTTTTAAGATCTGGTTATATTATTACATTTAATGGATTCACCTTCTCTAATGGAGCAATGGGCTTCACATTACCTGATCTCCATACTTACCAAGCAGACACACATTATACAAGGGTTGTCTGTGATGAATGGGATCTGGAGGACTTCACCTTCATTTTCACATTTCGCAACAGAACCTGAAGTGAAGGGGAAAATTCAATCTCACTGAATGGCATTATTGCAAACATTTAAAATTTTACCCTAATCCTTTTTGAAGCAACTACCCAGATTCAGAAATCTCTAATGAGTTTTAAATTATCAAACTCAACAAAACCAAATCCCCCCAGAAATAATTATTTTAAATAATTTTATTTGAGATTTAAAAAAAAAAAAAAAGCCTGTCATATATAAACAGATTTTCTGCTCTCAGATGACTTAAGTACAAATCCAAGTATTTCACTGACTCTTTAATACTCCTCCTCCTTGATGAAGGTATTTCAACTAAACACATATCCCCATATGCGCAAAAAAAAAAAAAAAAATCAAAGTGGACATTAGGGCAGAACAAAATTCAGGACTGTGGCAATGAACAGGCCTTTCTATGAATCTGCCTCATATAATCTTGAGTTTAAATCACTTTTTGAAACAATCTTCTTTCCTCCTCTCTTAGAAACGGACTCAATATTTTCTTTTCTGCACCAGGTGTCAGTAAAGTATGTCCTTCAGAATAGTAGCTGAGGTCTTCACCTGCCTGAAAGCACATCATTATTATATCCCGCTGGTATTACCCTTTTAAAATATGACAGTTTCTTTAAATTCAAAGTCTGGAGTGCCAGTGTTTTAAAAAGCACTCCTTACACAGAAGCTATGTCGGAACCTTGTAGAGTGAGAAAGAAGGGTATGTGGAAAACGGCGCAAATGTTTTTCCTTGATACGTACATGAAGGGAAGAGATCAAAACAAGGGTTGGGGCAAACAATAAAAATAAAGAAATTTCTCAAATTCCAATAGAATTTCTCTTGATGCTAACAGCTTCTCAGTCCTCCACCCCTTAACCTACTCACTGCCTTCCCACCCCTTAACACGGCGGGCTTCGCTTCATCCCCACCGGCCAGCGAGTGGCAGGCGCCAAGGTGCTCGCTCCCCACCCTCCGGTCTCCCGGGCGAGACAGTGCCTCGGCTCCCAGGTACCAAGCCTGCGTCCGGGAGGGCCGGTCCCTCCCGCCCCCTCCCCTACCTGTCAAGAAGGAGGAAGCCAGAGACATGGGGACCCCCGAGCAATTGAGCAGCAGCAAGACGCAGCAGGTAATCCCGGGCGAGCGCCGGCAGGGACGCTCAGCCAGAGCCCTGACGCCGGAGAACCAGAGCATCGTCACCTGGAGGGAATCCCGGGCGACTGCAGGTCCCGCGCCGCCGCCTCTGCTCCGCTACCGCCGCTCGCAGTCAAAAAGGGCTCTCAGCCGGCGAGTCGGGAGACAGTCCGCGAAGGAGGGAGGCGGGCGCCCGGGAGGGGGGGGCTCGGGGGGGGGGGGGAAGCGAGGGGTGAGGGGCGCCAGGGAGGAGGGGTCCCTGCAGCCCAGCTCCTCATGCGTTTTTTTTCTTTTTTTTTAGGGAGTTGCTCACGTGAGGCGTCTGTCAGCCCCCTACGCCAGAGATGGGGCCGGGAGGAGACGGCGGGAGCGGAAGGACCGAGGAGGCGCTGCGCTGCGCACCACCGCTCCGCCGCCGCCGCCGCCGCCGCCGGAGACTGCACGCAGCCTACTGCCCGGGCTGCCATGCCACTGCCCGGCGTCGCCGCAGCCGCGTCTTCCACTCATGCACTCCCCACCTCCCGCCGGCCCCGCCGGCTCTCCGTCCGGCCGGCGCGCGCGCACGCTCCCGTGCCCAAGACGGGGGCGCACCGGCCGCCTCCCGGAACCCGCTGGGGGCGCCCGGGTGCAGGAACCCCGCGCCCCGGACACGTCTCAGCCGGGCGTCCAGCCCGCTCCCCAGCCCCTCCAGGGAGGCCGCCGGCCCCGGGTCGCGGATCCGAGCCGGGCAGGCGTGTCTCCACGGCCCGGCGCGCTCGGTGCCTCCTCCCTTTCCCGGGGAAACCCTCCCTTAACGGGGAATGCCACACCGCTTCTGCTCACGCCCGGGTGCCCCAACCTTATGAGAGAGCAGAAAATGGGGCGAAGGGGCGCCTCACCACCCTGCTGTCTCCCAGGTGCCCCAGCTTTGGGAAGGAGCGACAAACGGGGCGCAGGAGGGGCCCAGCAACTTTTCACTCCCGGCTTTGCTTCCCTCTGGCGGGGGCGCGGCAGTGGACTGCCGGGCTGAGCGGACACAGGGGCGAGGCACCTCCGACATCAGTGTTCAGTGCTTAAGTGTCTGCTCGTGGTGACATTAGGGAGGACGGAAGTTGAAACGACAGGCAAGGTCGATTAATAAAAGCACAGAGGCGAACGCTTTTCGCCCTTAAAAAAGAACAGTCGCTCCAAGACTCCTCCCTTCCAACCTCTGGCGCACAGGGGCGGGGAGGTGCCGTTTGACTAATCATTCATTCAGCCGCGAAAGAGGGAGGGACGCGCCGGGCGGCTTATCTCTGGCGGGGGGCGCCACCGGGGACTCCGCAGCTCGCAGCTCTGTCGCCGCCGCAGCCTCGCGGCGCCCTTCTCGCCTCTGCAGCCCTGGGTGTCGGCGAGTCCGGCACGCCCCGCGGATACCTCCGCCCGAATCGCGGCCTCCTGCCCAAGCAGTAGCACCCAGCCTCTGCTCAAAGAGGGGTTGCAATGGAGAAGAATTTTTGTAACCAAATTGTGAAGGCGCGGGGTGGGATTTAGGGCACATTTAGCTTGGGCTGGAAGCTGATAATCAGCTGGCTCCGGAGTTCACCGTGGGTTGCCGGCTTCCTCTCCCCAAGAATGGAAACCGGGTCCCGCGCGCCCGTCCTCCTGGCAGACCCGCCTGGGAGGATCCCCAAGACAATCTTTGCCTAGCCAAGCACTTTTCTTAGCGGGACGCACTTAGTCTCCCGGCGAAGTGGGTTGTCTGCAGCCCCAGAAACCAAATCTTTGAAAATGAATTAGTCTGTTTGCTAATACATTTAGTCTAGTTCCATCTTATCCCCTCCGCGCTTGGGGCGGGAGTGAGGGGTGCTGTTGATGTGTTTTCATGTTTTTAATGCAGCATTGCCCACGTCCCGCACATCAAGGAGCTGATTGGAGCACACTGCTCCGACAGGGAAAAAATAAGGGAAGGGAGAGCTGTCATTAGCCTAGCACGCTCCATTTCCCTCTCAAAACAGGTTTTTAGTATAAAAGTTAAAAGAAAAGAAAGATGATGTGTGGCTCTTTTGGGGGTCCCCCCTCCCTCACCAAAAAACCGGCCGTGGCCAGGCAGCTTCTTGAAAATCAGAATGTGTTTAACGTATTTAACCATAAAGAGGGAAACTGTAAGAAACAAAAACCCTCCAAACCCAATCTTACCTCCCAATTCATAGTGACTGATTAAAAAATAAAATAAAAACTTTTATTACTAGATAAGCACAATCCGTTGAAATCACTATCTTCTCAATCTAAAAAGATTCTCTCTGCATGGGGTTTTTAGAAAAAGATGTTAATCACAACTTAACTAGGGAAAAACAGAATAATGGGGAGACTGAGAGACCTTTTATTGCTGCAGACTTAAGCAGTGGATTTGGATAAACACATATTAAGGAACCAGAGGAAATTTGAAGAAGGCCTGTGAGTTGCTCTGATGTGCCTTCTCTGGCACCAGCCACACACCCTCAAAGGTTTGCATGACGAAATTCTTCATGATGGAATCTAGGTGTGTGTGGCCTTTGTCTAACAAGGGGCGTGGTGATTTGGGATGCATTGAAACCCTCTCTGTAGGTACAAATCCAAAAACCACCTGAAAAACATTTTCATCTGTCTGGAAGTTTACGAATGTGAAAGATGTACAGAAGCCTTTGGCAAACCCTACTCCCCAAAGCATCCGACTCCCCAAAGGACTTACCAGAATGTTCCTGCACACATTCATTGCTGCTGCTGCTGCTGCTACCCCTTCAAGTGAAGGTCTATCAGCTGCCAGTTGGTCTCTATCTACACAAAGCTGAGATATTCCAGGGTCCAAAAAGAAAGAAAAGAAGGCCTCATTGAATGACACATAAAATCTGCTTTCACAATTAAAACAAACGGTGGTACCACCCAAATCCCAAAATGCTCTTGAGGGAAATCGAAAGAAGACAATGAATGTTTGGCTTTGTTTATAGCATTTTTCAAGGAAAGGAGGTAATGGGGCTCAAAGACTATTGCTTAACTCATGACCCATTCCATTCTCAGATAAAGTGCTGTCTCGTCCTCTTTACAATAAAATATATCACCTAATCTTACCAAAAGGAAATCAGGCCTGTGGTAGGAGAAATTCTCCTCATCTCTTGCAAAACTGTGATACTGAAGTTGCAGTGAAAAATCCAACTAATATATAATTTAGCCAAAGAGATGGTATCAACCAGCATCCTAAAAATAGAAACAAACAGATCCATCAAAAAGGCAGCAGGGTAAAGGGATAGTGATACCAACCACTAGGGAGGGCCGAAAGTATTCCATAAATGTGTGAAGGTTTTGCTTTATAAAAGACATCAGGCTACGCCTTTTAGACTTGATAAGGATAAGGGGTGGTGCTCCTAAGGAGTTTACCATCTAGTGAAGGAGATAAAGCATGTTTGTAAATGAAGGCAGTACAAGGTAGGAATGAATGTGGAAGTTGCCCCTTGTCTGCAGACTCTCAGTGGGTGCCTAAAAGCACAGATAGTACTAAACCCTATATATACTATGTTTTTTCCTACACACACTATGATAAAGTTTAATTTACATTAGGCACAGTAAGAGATTAACCATAACTAATAATAAAATCAGACAATTATAACAGTATACTCTCATAGCATTCTGTGAATATGCTCTCTCTCAATATCTTATGGTACTATATGCACCCTTCTTTTGCTGAGGCGGGCTGATAAAACACCTATGCGATGAGATGAAGCTAGGTGAATGACGCAGGCTTCATGACTTAAGTTAGGCAACTACTGACCATCTGATGATTCGTCAGAAGGAGGGATCATCTGCTTCAGGATCTCAATTGGACCACTGGCAACTGAACCTGCAGAGAGCGAAACCACAGATCAAGGGGCATGACTGTGTAAAAGGAGGCGATAACAGGCCCTGCTGTGGAAGTTTAAAGAAAGAAGAAATTGAGCTTCCTGGAGGAAGGGGCACAGGAGCTGAGCCTTGAAAAAAGGGGAAGCTTTAGTAGGGGAAGCGCAATCTGGCAAGAGCAGAGAGTAACAGCCAGGAGTCACGTGGTTGATAGAGAATGGGGAGCAGCCACCCAGTTGGCTCTATTTGTTGGTAGGGCAGGAGCTGTGGGAAACCTGGGAAATCATGAGGAATCTACCAGCAGCACTTAAAGAGTCCACCCCTGATGAGCAATATAAAGTTTACCATGGAGTAAGTGCCTAATTCTTCTTTGAAACCACCAGATGAAAAAAAATAAGTAAATAAATAAAAACTAAATAAAATAAAACAACCAAACTACATTTCTGGAGAAAGGAAATTATTTCTGCAGGTATGTTCAGCAATCTGCACATGTAGTCATTATTAATCATATGGGAGAGCATCATTTCCACTACATCTTTTTGAAAGGGTTTGGACGATACAATGCATAATACACATGAATCCGTTTCTCAACCTTTTTAGCACTGGAGATCTTAGACATCATGTAAACCAACTTCCTGCCCTTTCACTTTAAAAATGAGAATCTGAGAGCTAAGAGATAAATGACTTTCCTGAGGTCACACAGCTAGTTAATGGCATAGCCCATTTCAACAAAGTTCCTCTGGTTTTCAGACATGGTGCTTTCCATTACAAATGTTCTGCCTTCTTACGTCATAGGAATTATAGGAAAGCACCACTGGATGTTTTATATACAATGAAAATTAAAATTACAGAGTTGATGCAATACTCAAAAATCTATTGAACTGAACTGGCAGCAAAGACACAAATTCTAAGACCATAAAAAGCAGACCACGACTTAGCTTAGCAGCTGTACAGTGAATATACTCTTAGATCACCAGACTAAAATGTTAAAGAACTAACTGTACTCTCTTCTGGGCTTTGCTACTGGTTTGCTTCATTTCTGTTCCTTCAGAAAGGGGTGGGCACCATTGTAGCTGGTGAGAAGTCCTCCAGATTCTGCCAGAGGGCTCTCCTGTCATTCCAAGAAGTCAGAGTCCCTGGAATTACTTTTTTGTGGCCGGTGGGGAGAGTGGGGACAATGACAAAAGCATCCTTTCAGTGTCATTGTTCTATTTTACTTAAATGATCATTAT